AACTTCACACATAATACATTTGCACGTCCTTTTGTTTCATGATCAGATACCAGAATGGCATAATCACTGCCATTTTAATGTTAACATTCATTAAAGTCAAGCATTTCTGCCATTTTGAACTGAGATCTTTGTTATAAATGTATATGTGTTATCCATCTTAATAAATATGTATATATACAACAGACCATAATAACCATTTCAAAATGGCCGAATGCAAATGTTGTTTAGAACCATGTTTCTGATAAACATTGATGGATCGCAATCAAACTTTACAACTACATGACTCAGCTAGCTTGCAGTCTGTTGCGATTCCGATGAAAAATTGTGTAAGCGAGGGTTGAACATGAAAGTCTTGTAACCAATTGCAATAACAATAAACCGGACATCACACACGTGCCTGTGTTTATTTGTCCACACATTCTTCTGATACCATTGCATGTTTTTTTTTAAATTCAAGCTAAAATAAAATGGCGTAAAGTTTTTGGGATCTAAGTTTATCTAAAAAAGTGTGTATGGTTTCCAGGGTCTCAGTTCATATGTTAATTAGCCTGTCTGCTGATTGATAGATAATGTGAGGGCACTTACATGTACACATCGGTTACAGGACTTTAGTGTTCACCTCTCTTTTACGCAATTTATTTTTTAATATTTATTTAGAAGTTTTCATCGGAATTGCAACAGACTACACGCAAGTCTACAACATGACATGGAATAAAAAGCAGAATATAAACTTGTATTTTGGAAAATACTCTCATGTAATTTGTTTCATGTTCTGGTTCAAAATGGCTGAGTCATTTCAGTTTTTACCTTGCCCGTACCATCAAAGATGGAAGGGAAAGGTATATTAAGGGGAAAATTTTGTCCGGCATTGTCGTCGTCGTTGTTGTTGTCGTCATTAATAATTGTTATTGTGTGCATGATAACTTTACTAATTCTATTCCAAACTTCATCAAACTTGGTCACCTTGTTCATCAGTATAAAGTCTTCCCTGAGTTTGAACAACAGATGTCCTGTATGAAAATATCATGCAAAAATTGAGAAAAACTGATAAAATATTTTGACTGTTTCTACTTGACTGATCACTGGTGATACACATCAAAGGTCACTGATCTCAGTGGAAATATGCATTGTTGTATGTGTTCAATGAAGCAAATGATTTATCTTGTAATAATATCCTTGGTAATGTATCTCAGAATCCCTTACTGGGTTTCAAAACCAACTCATGGAGAGATTGCACAGTCTGATACACATTTGCAAACCTACCAATAAATCTTTACAGAAAACAAGATGTCAGAAAATC